GGCGGTGGCGCGGGGGCCGGGCAGCAGCCGCGGATGGTCAGGTCTCCCACCACCAACCTGCTGAAGCACAAGGGCCTCTCCCTCTCCATGCACTCTCTGAACTTTGTCGGGGGTGCAGGGAGCCAGGCCCCGCAGTCGCAGCTCTCCCCCAACGCCAAGGAGTTCGTTTACAGCGGCAACCCGCCGGGTGCCGGCGGTCTCTTCTTCGACGGCGAGAGCCAGGCCAGCAGCGTCCCCCCAGTGTCGCAGTTCAGCGCTGGGGCTGGTGGTGGTACCTTTGATATGGCTCAGGTTTTCGGTGGCAGCACCAACAGCCTCTTCCTGGAGAACTCGCCCTTCGTGGAAGGACTCAGCTACAACCTGAATGCCATGCAGTATCCCAGCCAGTCCTTCCAGCCCGTCGTCCTGGCCAACTGAGCACCAGGAAGGAGAGTATTTTGGAGCCGGGATGGGGAGGGAGGGAAACATGAACAAAGCAAACAGGAGAGGAAAAAAAAATTAAAGAAGAAAGAAAAGAAAAATAGAAATCTCTATACATATAGCTTCTTTGGAAAAGAGAGAGCCCAGTGTTGTTGTGCTGTGCTGGCAACGCTCCTGAAGCACTGACTTGTTTTTTAACTCAGTCCCTGTGCTTTTTTCGTACTCACTTTTTTTTAGTCCTTAAACAAATCTTGGGATTTATTTTTTTGCTGTTGTTGCTGGTGGTGTCCCCCCTTCTGCCACCCCAGCCCAGGACTGGTGCACACATAGGTCACGATGTTCCCCATTTCCCTGCACCCTGCCCCAGCGCTGGACACAGGGTCCTTTTCCACCTGGGTGTAGGGATGTCGTCTTCATCCCCCCTTGCTGAAGGGAGGGATGGGGAGAGGATGAGTCGGTGTCAGTGGAGATACAGGCACTCTCATAGTCAAACGTGGGTGGGTGGGCTTGCTTCCTCTATTATGGCTCTGCGTGTAGACGGGGAGCATCTGCTGTGCTCACGGTGCAGAGCGTTGTGCTGCTGTTGCTGGGGCTCTTGGGCCCGGGCTGGTGCTGGCCGTGCTGTCTGTGTGCTGGGAAGCACCAACTTCTCCTCCCTCTCCACCTCCCCAGATGTCGCAGGGAGGGCAGAGCATTACTGTGAAATGGCTTCTTTCTGCTGCCTTCCCCATCTGCACCAGGACAGTACTCCAAAATGAGCAGCTCTGGTTATTGTCCCCCTCTGCACCTGAGCAAGGGGGCTTTTCCCTGCCCTCCTGGGGCTGGTGACAGCCCCGGGGTGTCAAAACACCACCTGCCTGCCCCTGCAGCTGGGGGTGGTGGTGCTGAGCCCACTTGGGTCCTGCCCCAGATGTTCTCACCAGCAGCAGAGGCCAGCATCTACCTGGGGTGACCTCTCAGGTCCGAGTTCTCAATCCCTGCTGTGAATTCGCCATCTTGTCTCTGAGATGGAGCTATTCCCTTTTTATTTGGCGAGGCAGCGCTGCTTTTGAGGAGAAAGGGCTATGTTGTTGAAGCTGTGCTTTTGAGTGGTAGTGTGTAAGAGTTTGTGCTTTCGGCCAGGTATACACCTGCCCAAATCCCCTCCCTTGCCCTTCTGGAGGGGACCGGGAGGAGGTGGCTGCTCTGGTGTGGAAGGGAAGCACCCAGCCCAAAATCATCATTCCAGCCCCATCACGTCAGTGTGGATGGTGGCAGGCTTAGAGCAGAGGTGGGACAGGCTGTCCCTGTGGGTGAGTGTGTGGTGCCTCCCTGCCACAGGGCCAGGATTTGGGAGCACTCCTGCAGCGTTCCTCAGGACATGGTGCTGCAGGCTGGATTGCTTCTGCATCAGACGCTCCAAAGCCCATGTTTTTGGGAAGCCCAAGGAGGGCTGTTGCTTGCCTGGGCAGGGTGGAGGCTCTCCAGGTATGAAGGAGGCCTCTGGAGGCTGTTGCAGGAGAGTGGAAGCGTGCAGAGAGGAGAGAGATGGATATGATGAGACTCCAGTTGTCCAAAGTTCTCGGTTTAAAAGAAAAATAAGCTTTTTTTGGTGCCTCCCAAACTTGAGGTTTGTGGTTCTGTGTTGTTTATTGAAAATGTTGTCTCTGGAGCACCCTCTGAAACCCACTTCTCCTGTATCTGTTGAACCACTGTGTTCCTTCAGGACACCCGTGTTTCGAGGGAGATGAGCTTGTACTCGTCCTTTTCCCGCTCCCCTCCCTCGAGTCGAAATGAAGGCCCTCGGCCCTCTCCCGGTTGCGTTGCCAATGAGCCTCTGCAGAGTGAGCCAGCTGGCCCAGGGGGGCTGCCACTGCCCGCAGCCCTTTAGGGAGGGTTGCCAGCAGACCCTTCCCCTCACTGGGTGCCTGGGGTGGGGGTCCCCAGCTCACTCCCAATGTGGGTTCCCAAGCAGGCTGGGAACAGGGAGGGAGGAGAGCAGAGCTCAGAGCTTCCCCCAGACCGGTGCCGATAGCCTCAGCCCTGCAGGTTTCCAGACCAGAACAAGTTGCTGAGGAACGGCCGAGCTTTTCGGTTTCCCTTTTTTGTGATTTTTTTTTTTTTTTTCCCCTTTTTTGACCATTTTCCCCCATCCTCACAGAGGTTACCACTGCCACCCCATCCTTCTCGGGAGCGCACTGCCAGGTGCCACCCCACTTGCCACACTGGACCGAGGGGCGATGGCCGGACCCCATCCAGTTGCCCCCTCCCTCCCAAATTGTCCCCGCATCTGGCAAAGCTCCCCTCCAGCACAAGGGAGGGAGAGGAGGAGGGCAAGGGTCCTGTGTCGCCCCCCCCTCCAGCCACCTGCTTATGTGTGTGAAGCTTTGATGCTGCTTTGCCCCTGCCACAGGTATCGTACCCGCTTTAAAAATAGTGGTGTGAGCAGAAGGAGGGACCAAACCTCGCTGGATCTTAGCAGGGAGAAAGCGTGTGCTTCAGAAGCGTTCCTCCGGCGTCAGGCAGTGGTGGAAACCAACGGCCTCTTCGGGTCTTTTCTAGTCTTGGATGTAGGCGTTCAGCTTCAGTTTTATTTTTCAAAACAAACAAGCAAACAAAAAAATTAAAAACAAAACCTGCACTAATTTACCTGGTTTCTTAGGAAGAGAAGAGAGAAAATTTTGTTTGTTGTTTTTTTTTTTAAGCGTTCCTCCGGCGTCAGGCAGTGGTGGAAACCAACGGCCTCTTCGGGTCTTTTCTAGTCTTGGATGTAGGCGTTCAGCTTCAGTTTTATTTTTCAAAACAAACAAGCAAACAAAAAAATTAAAAACAAAACCTGCACTAATTTACCTGGTTTCTTAGGAAGAGAAGAGAGAAAATTTTGTTTGTTGTTTTTTTTTTTAACTTTTATTTTTTATGGGTTTGTGTTCTTTTTGTTGATGTCCGTTTGTATTGAATAATTTGCTACATTTGTAAAATGTAAGAGGTATATATAATATATGTATATTTCTAACGTAAAAAAAAAACAAAAACTGTAATTTTTTTCTTTTCGAGATTTTTTCTTAAAAAGAGGAGAGAAAAAAATATTTTTTCAGGAAAAAAAACTTTTAGAGGGAAAAAAAAAAAAGAAAAAAGAAGTGGCAAAGACTCCTTTTCCCTCCTCCGCCTCCCTCCTTTCCCTCCCGCTTTTCTCTGAGGAGGGAATCGACCGTTGCCTTGTGGGAGAGAGAGTGAGTGGAAGAGGACGGACGTCCGTGTGTCTGAGCAGAGAGGGGTTGTGTGTGTGCTCTGCCTGGGTTTCTTTCCAAGAAAGGGGGTTTTGGAGG